TTCTGTGGCAGGTTTTCATTCCAGTTTGCTAGTAGACTACAGGTCTCTATGTCCCTTAGGCTTTTAAGTGACAAGGTGAGGGAGGTGTGTGTGTGTGTGTGTGTGTGTGTGTGTGTGTGTGTGTGTGTGTGATGTTATTATTTTCAGTCCTTGTGCAAAGATGCTTCATTCTCTTTCTCTCTCTTTCTTCATGCTGTAATGAAGGGGGTCCTTATAGCCAGGACACAGATGGGAGCAGGCAGTCAGGGAAGAGATCAGAGGAAGGAGGGGAAATAACTTTCCCAGTTAATGAATAAATGAATCTCTCTCCCTCCCTCTCCCTTCAGTTTTTCTTTTTGAGACAGAGTGTCTTTCTGTGTAGCCATGGATGTCCTGTATCTCACTTCATAGACCAGGCTAGCCTGTAACTCACAGAGATCCACCTGCTTCTGTCTCCCAAGTGCTGGGATTAAATCTAGCCACTTCCTCTGGCTAGATGAAGGTTCCTATAATTGCAAATTACGGAAACTAACTATAGCTATCCTCTACAAATAATTATTTATTAAAGGATATGAGGTCATACATAAAATGTTCTGGAAGGTCAAAGAAACAGTAAAATGTGGGCAGCCATGAATAATGGCAAAGCCGCACCATCACGCTGTTTCACAGGCAGCATCATTTAACACCACTAAGGAGTCCAATATGGTGACTGAGGCTGAGTGTGGCATGTGCACTTGTAACCTAAGTTCTCTGGTTTCAGAAACCTATCGTAGCACCACCCTCCTTGCCATGCTGGTTTCCTCCTCCTCTCCCTCCCCCTCTTCCTATTCCTCCACTTCTTCTTTTAATAGAACTAGCTTCCAGTTTATTTCATCCAAAGTATCCTTCTGGCAAATACTAAATCCACAAGCAGAAACACTAGCCACAAGGGAGACTGGGAAGACACATATATTTGTCTTCCATAGTGAGAGGCTTATTTTAAGTCCTAAGTCAGTCTAACATAGAAATGTTAAAAAAAATGCTGAGTGGCAAAAACATAGCAATAAGACAACCACTCATCTGGGCACCTTCCAAACAGAATGAGGGCTGGCATTGTGATTAGTTTACATAAAAGTATTGACAAAGAAGAAAACCCAGAATGGCCCACAGTGAAACGATTTCATTTCAAACTAATCAAGAAAGAAGAAGTGGCCAACACCAGCAGCTAATCCACACTCTTCAAAACACATGGTCTACCTTTGTTTATAAAATACATTCAACTGGCTTAAACAAAATAACAGAAACCGAAGGTTGAAAGCAATTCTCTGTGGAGTCCTCTCACACTTCTCAGTGTGTTTATAACCCCAGGTTGACCTATATTGGTTTACACTAACTAGGACACAAGTATTCAATTAACAAAGTAGAGAGAAAAGGATAGTGGCTATTAAAGATGCAAAGAGTATCTGGTGAAAGATAAGGTGTCTTTGGCCGAAACTTATGACCTGGTTACATAAGACTTCCTATGGGGGGATCCTCTGGTAAAATATCAAGGGTCACAGAGACCCCAGGGACTCAGTAGTGGAAGAGGGGACCAGGTTATCTTACCTGAAGAGCCATGAATTAATGCTCACTCAACATTTCTGTGTCCCTCTGATATAAAACACTGGCCAAGACCCACCACTGAGAAGACAGGTAATCAAGCCAAGTCCAGGCCCAGATGGGTGTCTGAGATCAATTTGAAAGATAAGAAAGTAGAACGGGAAGAAAAAGAGAAAAGAAAAGTTCCTCTAGTGAAAAGGTGAAAAGTTGCTTGGTGTGCCAGAGCAGGGGAAGTGAGGTGCAGCTGCAGGTCTGAACAGGTGACTAGGTGATGGGTGACAGACTACAGTCCCGCAGAAGGTGTCACACACACCACAGGACTCACAAAAGAGAGGGAGTTGGGCAAGGCATGACACTGGGACCACAAGCCTCAATCATGAATACCCTGGCCACCCTGGCCTTCAGTGTCACAGCATGACTTGTTTCTCTGAGTCAGAAAATAAGTTTGACCTTGGCAGTAACAGACACATCATGGCTCTAAGTTCGCTGAGGCACTGAGAAGAGGGGAAAGGAGGAAGAGTTGTAGGAGGAAGCCATTTTAAGAGTTAGCTCAGAGGAAATGGAAGCCCCTCGTGGGGTAGAAGTAGTGAGGACAGGAATTAACTTAGAAGGTTCAGTGATATTATACAGGGGTATACATCTAGGCAATGAGCCTGAGCTATTGCTTTGAATAAATGTCCAAGTACAGGCCAGAACCCAAGCACATTACAGAGTAGAGAATAAGAAGAAATCCCAGGTTGAGCCACTGAGGATCAACCCTGAAAAGCTCCTTGCCTCTATTCCATGGACCACAGGGTCACATTTAATAACAGAAAGGTCTCTGTGCTGTATGAATTACAGTATTTGTTCCCTGCCTTTCGGTCACCACTACCTGAAATGCCCCCACATCTGATTCATGCCTCTGCATCTAAGAAGCTGCATTTGGCTTCATCTCCTCTCAACTACAATCCAAATGCCCTGAAAAGGGAAGAGTCCTCACATTCTTATCAGTCTCCACTCGATTCTGCCTCTCTTATCAGAGGCTCTCTTATCATAGCCAGTTTCTTCTTGCATCATCCTTACAGAATTAAGTCTTTGTTCATCTTTGCTCTCCCATCCTGGTTTCTAATCTTCTGAGGGCAGAGACCAGCTGTGTCTTTTTCATCTTTGGTATCTCAGCAACTAATCCCATGCCCTGTATACTGAGTGATAGATATTAGATGCCACATTTTGCACGAGGAGCTGAGACCTTAAACAAAGTCATTTAACCTCTTGAGCTTCCTTATCTCTAACCGATCTGCAAGATGAAAGCATTAAACCCCACTCCTTTTGCTGTTAAAGAGGCTCGTGTTGGAATACAGCTGGCAAACTATACGTCACAGTACAAGCACAAATCAATATTTGCAGGCAGCTAGCGTAATTTCTGACAAGTGTGGCTGTGTGTCGATTGGATGACGGAACAAGTGTGCATCTCTTTCATAAGCACCGTTCCGCTCCCTTGAGAGGGGTCTTCCAAGGCACCAGGGGCCCGAGAGGTGTTGAAGGCCAAGGATAGCACTGTGGCGTCATAGACTGGCATCTGCGTCTCCTTCCGATGCTGAGGCGCAGAGAAAACTGCAGCGTACTCTGGCTCTGGAGCCTCTCTCAGGGAGAGACATGAGGTGCTGCACACGGCCAGACCTCAGCTCCTCGGGTGATCTCCGCCTTCTTGGGCTCCTTCCTTCCGATCTCCCCAGACAGGGCTTACGATTCCTGTGCCAGCGGTGCAGCCCCGTGGCAGTATTATTTTCATTTACTGCGGTTTGGCTGCTTCTCCAGGTTTCTGCATCTGTCTCTCTTTGAATCTGTTAACTAAATATACATCTTCTGAGCTCAAAGTATTTTTACTTCTTCTCCTTCTAGCTCCCCAGCCAATTTTGAAACCTGCCTCTCTAAAAGAGTCAATTTATAAGTGGGTTGATTTGGAACATCCTTAAGCAAAGTTCATTTTCGTTATTTCTATAAACCCCCTCATTCATTTCCGCTCTCCTCCCCCAAGAAACACCAACTTAAAAAAAAAAATAAGGAGGGAAGAAAGAAAGAAAGAAAGAAAGAAAGAAAGAAAGAAAGAAAGAAAGAAAGAAAGAAA